AATACGAAAACTCAAACAACAATTCGTCCGCCCTTCACGCAACTTTCGTCAATCACGATTATTATGAGCAATTAAAAGCTCCATTTGTAGGGAGTTTAAAAACGCCAACAACAAGCACTTTGCGCCAGTTTAGAGCAATTGAAATAAGGGAGCCATTCAGAAACCCATTTTCCAGCACCCATTTAACGTCGGATGTCGGATTCCTTTCAGTTGTAGCCGATATTGAGACCAAACATTAGCAGAAGTGTGGTTTTACTCTCTAACGGAGCTCCATTAAAGTGTCCTCGGGGGCCATATAAAAACCCCCCCGAAACACAAGTTTCAAAAGTAATAACACGAAAACGCTAATAGTTAACACCTACAAATTTCAATTACCTTCAAAGGCAAAAATTGGACATGACTTCATTTTTTCAAATACTTCAAAGAATCGTTGAATGGGCCTGACCAATCGAAAGGTTGGGGAGTGTGGGCAAATGTGCCTCCCACGTACAACTCGCTCCAAAATGCGGGCTTCTGCAAGCAAAAAAAGGAGATCTGATTTAATCGCTGGAAACTGATAAAACTGTCCAAAAAATGGCCAAATACATCGAAAAAATCCACTCATCAACAACCGCCAGCTTCTTAAAATTCAACACTTTTTCACGAATAAAACCAAATGTCCCATAAAACCATATAAAACTGACTGGAACATTGCGAGTTCATTAAGTAAAACGAGCTGCTACACGAATAATTAATTTTTATCGGCGCTAAATATAAAAAGCCGATACCCGATTTATCTGTTTGCTGCTGTTTCGGCTTCGGCCAATTAATTTGCAAATGTAGAATTTTGGCCATCGGATTTAAGGGCAATTTGCATTCCATTTGCTCGGGGGCTTTTTAACACGCACCCATAAAAAGGGCCCTTTAAGGTGCAAAAGGGAAATCTCGCATAGTAGCTAACCAGAGGGTTGTGCAGTAATCCCTTTCGAAATGGACCCGAAAACGCTTTTTATTTCAGGTATTTTGGATGAGCTTTCGTAAATAAGGGTCAAGTTTCTTGCGCTGGACGCAATGAATAATAAACTGTTATGAATGGGAATTGCGATTGCTGAGCCGTAAAATGTGCCTACATTGTTGATTGGGATAGACTTATGTCCACAGGGTGTCCCGTTAGGACATGATGAAAAGCATAATTTTGAGCGTCCATAGGAAGGCAAACATTTTTCTCAATAAAAGTGAGGTCAAATATTTTTTTTTGATCCACAGAATGTAGCAGTGCCCTTTTGATCATGTCCTCTCTATATATCAACTAACTCAAATCGTCCACTCCACACAGAAAGTTAAATACGGCGCAAAATATTCCAACCTGACGATGATTTATATGAGATAGATTATTAGGACAATTTATTTGTCCCACGCAGTGCTTTCGCTTTTTTAGCTCAGTAATATGATGGATAAATCAGAAAATTAGGAGTCGCCCTCCTTTCTATTCGTCTTAATGCGTCAAGATTTTTCCTCGTTAGTCTTGGAGATTGGCTCCTTAAAATACCCCTCATCGTCTGGAACCAGAAGGACGCCCTTTATGTCCGGAATGGCCAGTTTCCATTTGCTGGCGTGTTTTTCTAAATTGTTTCCAAACATCGTGATTTGCCCTCAGACGCTCAACGATCATTTATATAATTGAGAGCTTTTTTCGGTTCCCTCAAGTCGCAGCAACTTAGTGTTTAAAATTTTCCTAGAAAGCTTGTGTTCAGGATTTTCAAACTAGTTATTCACTTGATTCTTCGAAGCTGATCTAAGATAGAACTTAATGAATGTTCCGATCCAAGAATTGCTTATTTTTATAGATCCCAGGAAACAGGAATTATTCATTCACAAAACTGTCGCATCCATCAAAGCCTGGGCTAATTATAAAACAGTCGCACTTTGAAGATTCGCAATTTAAAAATAAATCAAACTATCTGATAAAGCACATTCCAGGCGAACTTTTTAATTGATCTGGTTCATCTGGATTTATTCGCTCTTTTATTGCGCTGTTGTCGATTACGAGCTGGTATTCAATGCTTGAGACATTTCCTTTTAATTAAAAAGAACTTTTGTTTGCAAAAATTTTGTGAACAACTTTGCGGAAGTTTTTAAACTCGTTGAAAATAATCCTGGTTCCAAAATTGGTCAATTTTCGGGCTTTTGGGCACTTCTTTGGCAAACTTTTCAAAAACCTTCTGTGGCTCGCAGACTTGCCACTTTAGGGAAAAGTGAACACCAACGTTTTTGTGAGCTTTGAGCGTCTCTATTCAGTGGCGTGTGCAAAATCTCGAAAGGTTTGTTTCGGAGAAAAAAATAAAATGTGAAATTCGTAAAGCTTTGAAGAATTTTTCAAAAATTTTTTTTTCAATTTCAATTTTTTTTTAGAATTTTCCAAAAAAGTTTTAAAGAAAAATTCCCCACTGATCTAGGGGAGAAATATATGGGGGTTGGCACCGCAAACCTCCATAAACCCTTCAAATCTCCATCAAATGTGCCCACTTTCTCATACAGACAAATTTTCTTGAGTATTTCGACAGATTTGATCCCAATTGGGCGCAATAAACCTTTGAAGGGGGATATTTTCCCCATTACCATTACTCACTTAACCCCATATGTAAATGAGTAAAAAATGAAGGTGCAATTTTTTCATCTTTGATTGCTTTGTTGATTGCTCCAAATGTTGTAAATTCGGCCTGTCAAAAACGGAAATTTTTTGGAAATTTCTCCAAAATTGAGTAAAAAATAAAAAACCGTCAATTGCGGGCTTAATGGGCAATTTAGCCCCTTTTTTGTGCACTTTGAGCTCGTCTAGCCAACGGCGCTCTCAGAAATTGTCGATCGTTTTTGGTTTGGAAGATATCTGCGATTTTTTCCTTGAAACAACATATTTGGCTTTTTCTCCCAAATCAATAATCCGACTGTCCGAGAAAAAATATCGCCAGATACATGTGGACTTTCCACACATTTTAGCAGAGCAGCATTTTGCGTTCACGAGCTTCATTTGGGAGATAAAAACCATATACTGCAAAAACCGCTGGAAATTGTGGCCAAAAGAAATTCTTGTCTCAAGAATTTTCATCTCTAGAGTGCCAGCTGCGAAAAAATGCAATGCCAAAGTGAGTTCGCTTGTTCTGCAAAAAAATCCCCAGTGAATTAGGGGGAAAAACTGAAAATCCAGTACAGACTCTCATAGCAGCTGAAACTTCAAACTTGCATAATCACCCCAAATCCCCATCAAATGCCCTCATATTTCGACAGATTTAGCCCCAACTGGGCGCAATAGGGGGGGAAATTTCCCATTTAACTCCATCTAAATGAGCGAAACCAATTGATGGTCAATTTTCGGAATATCTTTGCTTAGAAAGTGAAAATCTGTTGCAAAATTTGCTTGCCAAAACTTGGCAACGTTTTGCAGGAAAATCCAAAAACCGTCAATAGCAGGATTTCTAAGGGGGAAACGAATATCAAGTTTAGACCCAAAATGTGCGATTAACCCATGGGACAGCTTCATTTATTTAGGCTGGATTTAGGAATGTTCATTTCGATGTCGGTCATTGGCTATTTTAAAGTACCCAAACAGCAAATAAAACTAAGCAGGAAAAAAACAAATCACCGGCCTGTCCTGTTCCTGTCTGTAATGTGTTAATCATCCGAAAAAAACGCGGAGAATTTTGGCAAATTTGCGTTTTTCCCCCGTTAGATGTGACGCCAAAGTGATTCCTGGATTACAATTCCACACGCTATTTTCGTTATCGCATCAGTTAATTAGCCGGTCCTCCTATAAAATATTGGCGCTTTTAAACAGTTGTATGCTGGCTTTTGTCAATATTAACGTGGCCACGCAGGATTAATGTCGGCTTTACATTTTAAAATCATTGTTTTCTCAGTTGCTCAAAACGCGTCAACTGAACATGCGAATTGTTTTTAAAAACTCACTACATACATCACTTGACAGGTCTATCTTTAGGAAAAATAACGCTAATTTTCGCGAATTGCTGCCCGCAAAAGCGAAGGTTTTCATTTTTTCCTTCTGCAATAGTGGTAATTATCCATAATTTATTTACCAGCACGTATCGATAAAAGGCCAAACCTTCCCGACTATTATATTGCGAAATAACATATCTAGTCAGAAAGTGTGTTATTATCATTAATAATCACGCTTTACAATAAATGGAAGAAATCGCTAATAAACCTTTCAAGGAGCTAAAAACATACACCCACACGCACTGTTTGCACAATAAAATATTTGTTTCAATGTTTGCAGGGCGGGCGTTCGCACTTAACCGACAAATGATTTAAAAACAAACGAACTATGACATGATCGCGCACATTTCGGCGCTGGCCACGCCCCTAACCTTAAACGTCAGCGTCTACGCATCGGATGTGAACGCAACCACCACCAACTACCTCTACACGAGCGTGACGTCAGACGCTGTAGCCAATGGCAGTCACGGGCAGTTCGGCAACAACGCCAGCTATAATGGCAGTTTGGACTACGCCGGTAGCTCGATGTTGCCCAGCTATATCCGGACTACGTCAGTGGTAAGAGTTAGTTTTATTAAATTAGTTTTTCTATATGGGAAGCTCAATAATGAGAAAATGCTAATTTTTTTCAAAATATCTGAAAAATTCGCTCCTTGTTGCCAACCGTTTACTTGGGAAGTCAAATTCGACCAATGCGAGGGAAGATTAAATGGTATTTGATATAGTTTCAATTTAAATTGAAACGCTGAGAAACATTGGCTTAAAGGCGCTTCTTTGAGGGTTAATAGAGTGGAGTTTTCTCTATCAAAGGGGGTAAAAGCAACGCTTCTACTCGGTCTGCCTTTTGAGCAGGAATTTTTCGAACACACTTGGTTTTGCTGGGTTTCAGTGCAATTTCAACGCTGGAGT